CTGCAAGTGTTCTGCGAGTCTGGCGTCTGTGCCGCCGGCAGTTTGGTCTGTAGCCCTGACAAAAGATTTTTGCAGTGCTTCGCCCGGCGCCACGTGGCACGTGCCACGATGTGTGGATCGACCCGGGACCGGCATCATCGTCGTTCCGGAGGATCAGTGCGTCGAACGGTGCCACCCATGTCCCGGTCGGTCCACCCGTTTGGGCTTCAGATGCCGAAATGCTTGAACACACACACAAACACACACACACAACCGGACACGGCCAGCCAACTTTTATTTTCAGTCCCTCCCCAATGAGAATTTCCGAATGGAAAGCATGCTAAAGCATGCTAAAGCATGCTTTCCATCCTCCAATTCCGGATAATTGAAATCAAGCCTGGCGTTGAAATGCGAACCGCTCCATATTCTGGTTGATAGTTGACTTTTGACAGTGGCGTCAAAGAAAAGATTTTGACGTCTGCGGCTATCAATTCTGACCGACCCCAACATCACATCCATTCTCAGAAAAATATCCCCATTTCCCTAGCGTCAAAATCTCACCAGGTCTGTATCGATCTCAGGGGGTGCCCGGTCTAAGGTTTGGGAGGGGGAAAATTGCCCCGCTTGCCCTTCCACTGACGACGGTAATGCTTCACTAAGTCTGTGTCCCCCGCTATTCAAAATCGGTGGCAAGATACTGAAAACCGTAGTGCGACACGGTACGCACACGTACCTACGTTGACTACGAACCCACCTTCTACCTTCGCTACCTTCTCACTCCCTCAATTTTGACGTAATTCAATCAAGTAACCTTCAGTAATTTGCTCCTCGAACCTGCGCGCCAAAAACAAGGGGCGGGGTCAAACCTGTTACCGACCCCATTCCCCCACCAACACCCTCCCCGCTGCAGTGTATGGGTCGGTCACGTGACCAGTCACCACCCCTCCCCTCCCCACAACAGGCTGCCAGTGGTCGATCACGTGACCGGTCGGGTATATAAACCGGTGTCGGTGATCAGACTGTATCGCTCGACTCAGTTCCAGCACAACGATCAACATGAACTCTCTCACTGTGAGTGGAACGAACTTTCAAAGCCATGGTTACACGCGAAAGTGACAGAAGTTTTCAGATCGAGTGTGACTTTGGAAAGCAGTGTTTGTCACCAAAGAAGAAAACATACCTATAGTCTGGCAAACCTAAGAAAGAATGGATCTTAAGTGCTGCAGCCGTTGATGCATGTGCATTTATATTGTGAGAGCATATTTTCTGTCACAACTTTTCACACAAACTTCTCCGAGCCATACATTTCAAGTGATCAAACACGTGCATAGTGATTCAGGCGCTTTAACTCCGTTCTTTCTTAGGTTTGCCAGACTATATATGTGTGCAAAGACCATAAAATATTGTCGAAAAAGCGTCGATAACATTGATCTATCACAATCAAGCACGACCAAACTCGTGAAACGGAATGTCATCTTGAAAATAACTACTGTTGCACGGCGAAAATGTGATGCATTCGTTACAGAACCTTCAGTTCTCAAGCTCACGGATCTTTAATGCATGAGACAATGTCCTGACCTTACCGATTGTCTTCTGTTTTCCTCAGTTTGTGTGCCTGACGGCTCTGGTGGCGGTGGCCGCCGCCTCCGGATACTACGGATACGGAAACGCCATCTCCGGATCCCACAGCAACCAGTACGGCGGATACGGATACGGACGCGTCACCAAGGCCGTCGTCGGAACCGTCGGACTCGGCGGATACGGCGGATACGGCGCTGGATACGGATACGGCGGATACGGCCTGGGTCTGGCCCGCGGCTACGGAGGATACGGCCTCGGCGGCTACGGAGGATACGGCCTCGGCCTGGCCCGCGGATACGGAGGATACGGATACGGACTCGGCCGTGGATACGGCGGCTACGGCCTGGGTTTTGCCAAGGTGGGCACCATTGGCTACGGTGCTGGGTACGGCTACGGCGCTGGCTACGGCGGCTACGGCCTCGGAGGTCTGAGCTACGGCTACGGCTCGGGAATCTACGGCTACGGCCACTAGAGTTCGGGGACGTGCTGTCGGTCTGTGAATTGAGTGTCCTGTTGACGTGTTATGCCGTGCTATTGCGATATGAACCAGTGTTATTTATTAGAAAATAAACAGTCCAATTTATCAAGCTTTAAACGCACCAGCTCTACATCAATGAAGTTCTGATTGACCGAAACATGCACTAAAAAACTTCCCTTCACCCGCGCCCCACTGACGTCTGCGTGTAACACCTATATAAGTCTTTCACCTGACAAATAATGAAAACAACAATAATATAAAACGCTATGCTGAAACTCAGAAAGGTCTTGAGATGTAGCAGTTGCTCCATTAAACACATTGACAACAGCAGCAGCGGAAAAATTATATATTTTATCGATCCATCGTCCAATTATACCAAACGTATTGCGACATGAGCATTACAAAGGATAAATGAGCACTTGTCATTAAATCGTAATGTTAATACTTATACATCTTGGAGAGGCCCCCTAAACAGAGTAAAAAACCATACGCAGCAAATCAAATGGAAGTCTCACATCACATGAGTAGAGTTTGACCACAAATTTTGCATGAAAAATGCACAGCATCACGCAACTGAATACAGGGTGTCCTGATATTATTGTCATACCCTCTCACAACCTTGATTCTACTTGCTACGGCGCAATTTCAATATAATTTCGACCGTACTGGCCCCCAAACCATATTGGTTACATTCTAGTCACGTGACCTTCGAATTCTGTGACCCTGACCGGTCAGAGGGTGAATGAATGTCATTTCCGGGGCAGTACCCGGCGCGCGCGTACCGGGTGGCCAGGATGCAAAAGCCGCAGACATAGGCGGCGGAACGGGGAGGGCACCCGGGCACCGTGCCCCCCTTTGATTTTGGTATTTTAACATTAGCCCTATGGGCGTTGCATGGAAAGAATGGGACCAAATGTCGGCAGTGCCCCCCCCCCGTAATTGAAGGTGTTCCGCCGCTACTGGCTGCAGAGCAAATCGACCCGCAGCCGGACAGTCGGCATGGTTGCCGGCGGCATGACACACGGCCAGGTCAGTAGCGGCGGAACACCTTCAATTAAGGGGGGCACTGCCGACTTTTGGTTCCATTCTTTCCATGCAACGCCCATAGGGCTAATGTTAAAATACCAAAATCAAAGGGGGCACGGTGCCCCGGAGCCCTCCCCGTTCCGCCGCCTATGGGCCAGGTCGCCGAGGCACTAAGCGTGAGTCGCCGCACGATTTGGCGCTGGTTGTCACGCGACAGAGTCGGATAGACGCCTGAGAACAAGCGAGGTCGCGGCAGGAAGATTTCCGCCAGCGGGAAGCGCGAATGCCGAATCGTCATCGCGAAGCGCGGTGATAAATACGGGCCAATCCTGTCCACAAGGAAACTGGCAATGAGGCCGACTGCCAACGGTCATCCAGTCTCCAAGTCGACAATCCATCGGTACCCGAGGTTATCTCTGAGACCCAGCAAGCCACGTCTCCAGCCGAAAGCTTCTGCTGAAGATGTCTTGGGTCATCTGTCAACAGGACGGTGCCCCGGCTCATCGAGCTAGAACGACGCAGAAGTGGTGTCGATCGCACTTCCCGGTATTCTGGGATGGCGACCAAAGGTCGGGGAACAGCCCCGACCTGTCGCCGATAGAAAATCTGAGGGCCATCGTCCGGGAAAAGATTGACAAAATGGCGCCAGAACCAACCGAAGGTACACTGACCAGTAGAGATGCCCTTTTTCGACCCACCAGCCCGCAATGAGTGAGTAGACATTAGACAAAACCCGCATGGCTTTAAGCGGGTTGCCTCACCAGGAAATACCCGGGTGCGGGTTTTATGCGGGTATAAAAAATATCAGAAACTGTATATCTAAAACAAAAGAAGATTTCCCCTTGAAAATGGAAAACAAATATGCTGAAGCATGGCCTAGAATACTTAACATATGCAGTAAGATGTCCTGGAAAAATATGACTAGAAAGTGGAAAAACTTTTTGGCTTTTATGCGTGTTGTTGCGGGCTGCTACCAATGAAGGTCCCCATGCGGGTAGTTGTGGGTATCTGGAGAAGGGTTGCGGGGCGGGGCGGGTTACCTGGATCGCCCCGGGTTACCTGGATCCCAAAAAAGGACACCTCTACTGACCAGACACGTTCGATGAAGAAGAAGCTGGGCAAATTGATGTCTGGCGCGCCGGACCGTATATGCTTGCCTGTATCAGGGGAAAGGGGAGATACATATGTAAGAAAAGCGCAACTGTCATTTTTTATAATTATCATGCAATGGACGCTGGAAAGGTGTGACATTATTTTTGGGACACCCTGTATCACCAAGAATCTGTGTAGCCTAGAATCAGAGCGTGAGACTCACTCAATTTCGGTGCCCTTCAATCAGAACGCTTCCAGGCCGTCTACCCCGCAAACCCTGCAAACCAAAAGCGAGGGGCGGGGTCGGACCTGTCACCGGCCACCATCCCCTCCCCACAGCAGTGCATGGGTCGGTCACGTGATCAGTCACCACCCCTCCCCTTCCCACAACAGGCTGCCAGGGGGCGGTCACATGACATGTCGGGTATATAAACCGGTGCCGGTGATCAGACTGTATCGCTCGACTCAGTTCCAGCACAACGATCAACATGAACTCTCTCACTGTGAGTGGAACGAACATTCAAAGCCGTGGTTACACGCGAAAGTGACTGAAGCTTTATGATCGAGTGTGACTTTGGAAAGCAGCGTTTGAGGCTTCAGAAGAAAACACGCCTACATGTGTGCAAAGACCATAAAATATTGTCGGAAAAAGCGTTGATAGCATTGATCTCATCACAATCGAGCACAACCAAATTCGTGAAACGGAATGTCATCTTGAAAATAACTACTGTTGCACGGTGAAAATGTGATACATTCGTTACAGAACCTTCAGTTCTCAAGCTCATGGATCTTCAATACGTGAGACAATGTCCTGACCTTACCGATTGTCTTCTGTTTTCCTCAGTTCGTGTGCCTGACGGCCCTGGTGGCGGTGGCCGCCGCCTCCGGATACTACGGATACGGAAACGCCATCTCCGGATCCCACAGCAACCAGTACGGCGGATACGGATACGGACGCGTCACCAAGGCCGTCGTCAGAACCGTCGGACTCGGCGGATACGGCGGATACGGCGCTGGATACGGATACGGCGGATACGGCCTGGGTCTGGCCCGCGGCTACGGAGGATACGGCCTCGGCGGCTACGGAGGATACGGCCTCGGCCTGGCCCGCGGATACGGAGGATACGGATACGGACTCGGCCGTGGATACGGCGGCTACGGCCTGGGTATTGCCAAGGTGGGCACCATTGGCTACGGTGCTGGGTACGGCTACGGCGCTGGCTACGGCGGCTACGGCCTCGGAGGTCTGAGCTACGGCTACGGCTCGGGAATCTACGGCTACGGCCACTAGAGTTCGGGGACGTGCTGTCGGTCTGTGAATTGAGTGTCCTGTTGACGTGTTATGCCGTACTATTGCAATATGAACTAGTGTTATTTATTAGAAAATACATGATAACAATGAAATCGGTGCGTTTCATGAGATTTTAGACAGACATAAATTTACTTTAAACTGCATGTCGGAAAGGGTGTCCTTCCGACATCAGCGACTTGTGAGTGCACCAAAGCGTCAACAATAACCATTAACCATGCTGTGAGTCATCATGATGATTCAGAGGAAGATTCGTAGAGATCCAAAATAACGTCTAAATAACGTTACGTCGAAAAAAAGATGCGTAACTTCTTATCATGTAAATATTTTATCATTAAAACCCACCATATGCTAAGCTATGTTTTCTTAGCAATGATATTTTGAATCTACAGCGATACGTCTCCGGACGTTTGGGCGCTACAATAATGAGATGTCATACGGACTACGGTACTGTTAATCGTATGGCGGGCAATAGGCATCCACGGCTGAATCTACTGGGTTAACTGATGAATGTCAGCCTTTTATAATACATTTAAATGACGTTTCTGATGCACCTATGGGCGGCTCACATATAACAAATAGAGGTGTATTCAAAAACATTTTATTGCATCCATGAAATCATATCGGCTTATCTGCAGACCGCAGTCTACAATAACCAATAACCATGAAGGAACTGAATTGCCTGGGTGGTATACTGTGCCGCATTACAGTCAGCCATCCGGCACAGTATACCAGCGCAGGTTTGGCGAGCCGAGGCGACTGCATTCGCGCACAGCAGCGTAGCACTAACACAAATCCTACGCCATTAGGCACGCAATACGCATGGCTAAGAAGCATAAAGTAAAGGTTTAATAAAAAAGGGCGTGGCGATTACGTAACGTTGGTTAGAATTTCGATCAGCCTCAACCATATACTTAGGCCTCAAAACATCTTCAGTACACCCCTTACGACACAGAACTTAGTGTTCAGAGGTCTGTCCCTCGACCTAACTCCTATTACAAGAGCCGAGGAAATAATCGATGTTGGAAATGAATCAGTTGCTGAGAGGTGCAACTTATCATAGTATTCAATGGATAAAAAATCCGCTAAAAGAAAGAGACACTCATTTCACATATTGTTTTACTATAAATAGGTATTGTTTTATTATAACACCTAATTCGAGACAACCTTGAGCCTTATAAGCAAAAAGCCTTCAGCAACGAAGGCAAAGTTTATCATCAGCGGAAAAAATACAGAATGTTATGTTTTGTGTCAATTATCGAAGCATAAGGCACGCATTCATCTACTTAAAACAGGTCATATCTTGTGATGCGAATCCACCGTAAAATAAATTCCGATGTTTTGCTCAAATCCAACAATAGCCGAATGCGATAAGGCAAGTCTTTGCCATATATTGGAAAGCCGAGTTACTGACAGAGAAGTATCTTCAACGCCTTTCGAGAAATATTGACAAATTTGGGAACGTTTTTTTTCTGGGCAACCCAGTACATGTTCAGGTAACAATGACAAAGGATCAGGTGCTGGACAGCTCTGTGATTAGCTCAAGATGTGCAAGGATCTGGTTAAGGAGAAACCTCCAGTTTCCAGTTCCATGTTCAGTTCCAGTTTCTAAAAGATCAGAATCTGGAGACCACTACGCTCGTTGCTCAGTTTCCAATGTGTCCAGGATCAGGTACTGGAGAGTCGTATGCTCAGTTCCTCGTAACTAAGCTGTAGGTTCTAGAAGGCTCAAAGCATCAGGTTCTGGAGAGCTATGTGTAGACTTCCAAGGCTCTGGAAATCTCTTCACCAAGTTCTCAGTGTCTCAGGATCAAGCTCTGGAGAGCTATGTGTAGACTTCCAAGGCTCTGGAAATCTCTTCACCAAGTTCTCAGTGTCTCAGGATCAGGTTCTGAAGAGCTATGTGTAGACTTTTAAGGATCAGGGTTTGGAGACCTCCTCACTAAGTTCTCAGTGTCTCAGGATCAGGTTCTGGAGAGCTATGTGTAGACTTCTAAGGATCAGGATTTGGAGACCTCCTCACTAAGTTCTCAGTGTCTCAGGATCAGGTTCTGGAGAGCTATGTGTACACTTCTAAGGATCAGGGTTTGGAGACCTCCTCACTAAGTTCTCAGTGTCTCAGGATCAAGTTTTGGAGAGCTATGTGTAGACTTCTAAGGATCAGGGTTTGGAGACCTCCTCACTAAGTTCTCAGTGTCTCAGGATCAGGTTCTGGAGAGCTATGTGTAGACTTCTAAGGATCAGGGTTTGGAGACCTCCTCACTAAGTTCTCAGTGTCTCAGGATCAGGTTCTGGAGAGCTATGCACCTCACTGCCGGGTGACTACGGGTCGGGTTCTTTCGAAGCCCGATCTCAGGGGCGTTGGCTGGTGGTCCACCGCCCCAGGCCGCGCTGCAAACCAGTGAGTGTGTATATAACCTGATCACAGACTGTCGCTATCATTCGGTCACCGGTACCCCTACAGTGAACACCATGAGCTCCCTGACTGTGAGTATAATCGGCGGCGGTTGTGAGACAATTACAACGCGGCCGGCGACGGTAAAAACGGCCGGGAATGCTGCCGTTGTCACTCGGGTTATTTGAGTCAACTAATGAGATCATTTGGAATTGATTCAACTTCCAGATAGCGTTTTGATCACGGACAAATAGATCGTTCTGCAAATGAAATTCACTTGACCCGTCTATATAAGAAGAAGCGTAATGATTTAAGAATCGGAGCACTTCAGCTGCAAAACAATCGTGTAAAAAGTTACGAGTCTACTCAGGATTTCCCGTCGCATTTTGCACATGCAAAACTTGAAACGGCCAATAACTTTACTCAACAACATGAACTAACCACTGCCCCATTGCTCTCTCTTCAGTTCGTGTGCCTGACGGCTCTTGTGGCGGTGGCCGCCGCTTCCGGATACTACGGATACGGAAACGCCGTTTCCGGAACCCACAGCAACCAGTACGGCGGATACGGACACGGCGTCACAAAGACCATCGTCAAGGGCTACGGACTGGGCGGATACGGAGCCGGCTACGGAGCCGGATACGGCGGATACGGCGCCGGATACGGATACGGCGGCTACGGCCTGGGTCTGGCCCGCGGATACGGAGGATACGGCCTCGGCGGCTACGGAGGATACGGCCTCGGACTCGCCCGCGGCTACGGATACGGACACGGATATGGAAACGCCATCTCCGGATCCCACAGCAACCAGTACGGCGGATACGGACATGGTATCACCAAGACTATCGTTAAGGGCTACGGCACTGGCTACGGCGCTGGCTACGGCGGATACGGCTACGGTGCCGGTCTTGCCCGCGGATACGGCAGCGGACTCGGCCTCGGATACGGATACGCCCGCGGCGGATACGGCCTGGTGGGAACCGGATACGGATACGGCCATTAAGGCTTCACCTACTTCTAGGAATTTTCATTGTTAGGGTTAGCAATTCTCTCATGATTATGTTCCGTTCCTTTTAGCCACAGCTGCTAGTGTTATTTATTGAATAAATGAATGACCAATTTCTGTTGTCTAAGAAACGAAACAAATCACATATGGAATGCTGTGAAGAATGGATCCGTTTCAATGTGATATATCGAGTAAAAATGCCTGGCAGCAACGAGGCAACGACAACAGCAAGGGTCTCCCGGCATCCTGCAACAACAGCCTTTTTTTCCAAATCCCGTTCGGACAACAACAGACGACAACCCAAAGGTTGATCGAAACTTGCTTGTTAGCTGTTAACTGCAGGTTGTTTGATATAGACAAACACTTTTCGCTTGTGTTTTCTATTTAAAAATAACCGGAGCATTTCTGGGTATGGAATTATCTATTGCAACTTTAGTTGGTGCCTCAATAAATCGTCAAACAAGCTCTACAAAATCAATTATGTATGGTTATAATATGTGTGCCACGATGCCACCAATATAAAGTGACATTAGCCATTTGTTGAAATTTTCACGTTTTTCTTCACGATCGTGGCCACCGAATTAATCAGTGCGTAAAAAAAACAGTAGACCAGCCCAGCACGTTAAAAAACAGTTGACTTTCCCAGCACGTAGCAGGCTACGACCTTACTCTCCAAACCATTGATCCTCGTGTTATTAGGGTGAGACGGGCGATCAATGTCATTCGTTCGCCATTTAAATAGGAGCGAGAAGCAGCATTCATTCGGCCACCAAACCACGTCTTTGGTCTCCGAGACACACCCATTGCCCGAGGACCACGTTCATAACCGGAATTTATGAAAATGACTTTCTGCTGAAATATGTATTCGACAAAGACAAGACAAGACAGCAGCGCAGTTCGAAATCCGTTTGATCCAGCATCTGGCCCAATAAGACAATTGGCCGTTGCATTTAGTGATGGTAGCCATATCCACGATATCCAGGATATCCGTAACCATGGTAGCCATAGCCGTATCCGTGGTAGCCGGGGTAGCCGTGGTAGCGCAGGGAGCGGCCGTAGCGCGCGTGCGGGTAGCCGTAGCCAGGGTGGCCGTAGCCGTAGTGCCGGTAGCCGTAGCGCGGGTACGGCCCGGAAGCCGTAGCGAGCGCCACCAGGGCGGCCAGCACGACCAACTGAGGAGATAAGGACATGTTGGTCAGCCGAGCTTGTTAAATTTCTAGGTTGGAATTTAAGTAAAATCTGTGAAAGCATTACACGATGAAAACGTAATGAAACATCATTGTGCTAAGATATAGTAGGTATAAAGAGTCGGCGGATAATGCCGAATCGGTGCAGCGTAATCGCACAAAAATCATTTAAATAGCTATAAAACGAAATAAAGAATAATACGAATTTTTAACAATTGACAGCTAAAAACTACAAAAATCGAATGATTAAAATTCAAACAGCAAACAAAAGCAAATGTGAATTTCAAAGCAATAGTTCGCTTACCACCAGCTTGGCGTTCATGTTGAGCTCTGTGCACTGCTGCCGAGCACCAGAAGTATGCCCTCTGCCGAGCTGGGCCAGCTTATATGGGGGCCCGAGCTGCCGCAGCCTTGGCAGCCCCGTGCGGTATGGTGGCAGCGGGAGGGATCTCAGGTCGTGGAAAAACGACCGGCGGGTAAAGGCAGGAGGACCTGAGATCTACTGTGAGACCTGGGAGACCTACTAAGAGCTTGTTGCTAAGCTAATGCTAGGGGAATGGGAGACATCTGCTGACTACAATATGCAACGGGTGAGAGGGCGTGTTGAAACCCGCCGTCAATCAGCGACTTATAAGGCAAAACTAACGGTTGATAAAGTTCCAATACGGGTTTAAGGGGAAAAACAAGCGGAAAACGACAGCGCATGAAACTAGAGATTGTGTCATGACGAGTGGCCAGACCAGCCATGCCACATGATATTCGATTTGACGCGCTTCATATTTCATCTTCAAAGTTTTCTCTTTTAACTATGTATAGATCACACCCTCGACTAGCATACAAAAGCGATTTTAACCCGGCGGCCGCTGGGCCTCCGCGCCACCCGCCGGCCGCTGGGGGGGGGGCATAAAGTTGCCCCCCCCCCTTTACTTCTGCGACGATATCGTCGCAACGCGAAGAGATAGAGAAGCGAAACTTTGCACACATCTTCCTGAATACCTAGCCAAGGTTGTGTCTAAATTTGGTGTCGATCCCATTTGCAATGACGTCACAGTGACGTCATAAATGAAATTATAGATTTACGACTCTCATATTCCTCACGATGCATCACATATATGGGACCGAATATAAAGGGCCGATTATTGGTCAGAAACTAGATGGAAGTGTAGTAAGATGTTTTAGGATGCCAGCAGGTGCTGTCTAGTTCATTTACAGTCGAGTTTCATGCTCAGCGTCATCAGAAACGGTCCATATCGGAAAACGACAAAACTTTATGACGTCACTGTGACGTCATCTTAGGTGCTACAACCACCAAACTTTCCTCAAACATTGCCTAGGTATTCATTTGAAGCTATGCCAAGTTTCACGCTCGTAGCTCATCAGGTTTCGGAGATATTTCACAAAACGTAAAGGGGGGCAACTTTATGCCCCCCCCCCAGCTGCTCGTGGGTTAAAAGAGTTCCCTTTCTCTTTATTTTATGATCCAAAACCACATGGTGAAAGGGTCGAACAAAAATTTACGAGTTATTAAAGGGACAGTATCATCGAAAAAAAAATCCATGTATGGAGCTGATTTTTTTTTTACTAGCATTTCTTATTTTTCTGAATCAGAAAAACATAGTTTGAGGACCGAACTCGGTGAAAAATATTGCAACCACATTTCATTTTCATGATTCATTTTCATGAGCGAACCACCACTATACAAGCATGGCCGCCAGTTTGGAAGCATGCAAAATTACTACAGAACTGGCGCAGATAATACATTATTGACGCTACGCTTACGCGGTCGTTCTTCTGATTGAGTTGTCCTTAGGGAGAGGTAGCCTTAGGTATTGCCTATAAAAATATAACGTGACAATTGGAGGGAGTGACAACTGGACGTGACAATTGACAATGGGAGAAAATATCACGTGACAATCACGTGATAAACGTCATACATTGGAGGGAGATTGTGATTCAAGCTGGAGGAATTCCTTTGTTGAGCCGCTAGAATCCGAAGGAAACAGCGGAAATTGCCTACGACTATTTAATGAATTTAACGGTGATGAATAAGTGCGAAAAACGTTTTGGCTTTATAAAATTTGACGAAATGACCAGGGTAAAAGTTTTATTACTGGCGGTCAATTCAAAACGGCGCAAACATTTAAACAGTGAAGATAGTGAAGCACGATTCAAAGTGTGGTACACCTTTCGTACTTTGAGCGGCGATAGCGGGATAACGGTGTGGAATTTCGAGGATCGGTCTTCAGTTCCCGGACCAGAAAGGTGGGGCCTATGCAATGTCAAATTTCATCAAAATGGTGATACTGTCCCTTTAAGTCATTGGAGACATAAGCTGAATTAATATCGAACAGACAGCAGGACTCCTTGCAATAAACGTTAAAAACCCCAAATGGTGTTGCTGTACCTCTGTTACCTGTGATTCGTGCTTGTGAAAAAATACGTTATCAAAGAGGAGGCATCGATCTCTTCTTCCAGAACGAATAGAGCTCGACTTCAAAAGTACAGCCCACCGCTAAAGTAATGTGTGGTTTTACCAATCTCAACGGATGGCTTTGACCGACGATTTTTAAATGCGGACTGATTGAAAAGAAGACGTCAATAAATAAAGTTGTAGCTACAAGGGTGAAGATACATGAAAGCTACATTTAAAGTCTCGTTGCAGTCTGGCTAATCGTTCCTAGGCTTCAGAAGCAGAACATACCCATGACTGAAACCACACATTACTTCTGCTGTGGACTGTACAACAGCAATGAGTGGTGAGCAAACTTGAGGTAAGCACATCCCAAGATGGAAACCCTGACAGAAAGTCTTCTATTGAAATTGGAAATTAGTCTTTTGAAAATAGGACGGATGGTGGATGCTTCATAAAGAAAAGATCGGTTAGAATAATCAGGGGTCGGCAAATGGTGGGGCATGCCCCCTTTGGGGGTAATGGAGCCCTTTCGGCGGGGGTAATGAGGGCCTCTGAGAAAGCCTATCTTTTTAGAATGAATGGCTCTCTTGGTGATGCAAACACCGTGACTGCTGCGCCCCAGGGTTCAAATATGTGTCCAAGCCAAATTCACACAGCATGAATTGATTGGCTGGCGCATACCTACCAATTAGCATGTAGCTGCTCACCGTTCCATACAGTCGTGCAAAAGCAACTATACTATAATGTTTTAAGTTTTAACCGTCGCCCGTCTATTGGCGTTTTCATTGCCGCTAACGTAAGGGAGAAGAGTCGATCAGAACACAGCCCTCTCGGCCTCTGGAGCTGGAGCTTTGCAGAAAGAACGAGCGTGCTGGCGGCTGGCCGTGACGGAATATGGCCTTAAAATTGGTTCCCATTCACGTCTGTGACAAGTATCAAGAAAATCGGGACCCGCTGTAACTTCTTCAAGTGAGATTCTTTGGCCCGACACGATCTCCAGAAATAGCTCATAAACAAACGGTATTTGGGCCCAGGTATTAAAAAAAATGATCGGCTCGAGGGTACAATTTTGTCGTGATCCAACGGCTTCAACGTGAGATATTCACGAATACCCCCGCTGCCCCTATATGTACGAGGGTTTGATGTGGTGCATAAAATGTTTTGTGAAGGAATTGTCATGTTTTAAATTCGATGCATCAAAAATGCACAAAAACCCAGAGTCATGAAATGGTATGACATTTCAGTAAACATGGTCATTTGGGTCCAGGTATTGATATTTTCAGGGAAGGTCAAAAAGGATGGGCTCGAGGCTCGAGAGTACAATTTTGTCGCGATCCAACGCTTTTCACGTGAATTATTGACGAAAAACCACCTGTTGCCCCTATGTGTATGAGGGTTATATGTAATGCATGAAATGTTTTGTGGAGGAAATACCATTTTTTAAATTTGATGCATCGGAACGGCACAAATACCCAAAGAGTCACAGAAAGGTATGGAATTTCAGTAAACTTGGTTGTGTCAGCAATAGGGTTTGGTAGGCATGGGGGTAATTGCCCTGCCTGGCGCCCAGAAAGGGGGCACGACCCCGGAGGACCTGCCGACCACTGAGTTAGATATTGGAAAAGGATCACGTCATTTCAAATTAAAAATAAAATAAAAACAACAATACAAGCCACAATGTTATTAATAGATAGATAAACGAAACCACAATGGTGATTCTAAATAGGTGTCTTATTTCTCTAACCTTGTTTCCGAAATCCGTCTAAATTTACCATGCAAAATGCACACTAAGTTGTTATTAAAATAGCGACATGTCACATGTGAAGTCACATAAAATTAATAAAGTTCCAATTTTAATAATGACGGATTATCCAACCAGACTGCAATGGAGAATTAGAGACGAGCTTAGCGTGGTGTATCCTATTAGCCAGCAGCCATAGATCATTCAAAACACATCCGTTGTGGTCGTCTCCTTTACTCGACTTGTCACAGCGGGGTGTAAGGGGAGGAGTCACACGGGTGGTGGCCACCCCCGTGTGAATGGGGAAGGGTGACAAGGGGTCAACCCGACCACGTAGGGTAAGGGTTATGACTAGTGGTGTCAATCGGTAACCAAAATTTCGGTATACCGATACCGAACCAATACCGATTCGGTATTCGGTATTATATACCAAAAGCATTTGGTATTTTGTCGGTATCATGAAAATCAACTACTGTCATAAAATATTTGAAAGTATTTTTGATATACCTTCTGAACTCAAATTTGATTTTGCTAAATGACACTGGATGAAGAAAAATGGCAATCATGACACATTTCTCCCAAATGCATGATGTCCTAACAAATGGGCAAACACATCAACTGTAATATCAAATACATCAGTCTACCAATGTTAAATGGCAACTTATCAGTGTTAGCAAATTCAAATACCATGAGGATAATTATCCTACAAAGAAAGCCAATGTGCAAGACATAAACATGAATTAATGTTTAACTCACTGTATGCTAGAAAACATACTTAAACTACCTTTCTCAAAATTTCCAAAGCATTTATTAGCAACAAATTTGACTTTGTTTTGAGGAGTCTGTGATTGATCTTGACCTTGTCTTTCTCTCCATTTTACTGCAATGTAATTATTACATTATCCAAAACCCTGTTTAATACAGCACTAGCTTCACCATTATCATCTAATATTTAAGGCAGCATTTGTCACTTCATCATCACCCGCATCACCCCACAAATCTTCAACTTCGCTCAACTTCAAAAAGCCTTGTAGTGAGCGATGCTGTCATGATCCTGTGGATAATTTATTTTCTTCAATTAGTGTTCTCTTTCCTGCTCTCTCAACAGATACAGATCGCTAGCAATTTAATCATAAGCTTCATAACATATAGGGGAAGGTGGGGTAAGACGGCCCAGCGGGGCAAGACGGACCACCAGCCCTCCCGGCTGAACCGCTGCTGGTATCTACTGCTTTATGCACTCACTATGTTTGTTTTCCTTCGTAACAATGGCCACCTTGAGCTCATGCTGCTAGGATGCATAGCTTTTGAGTTATTGAGAAAAATGTTGTTTTTCGTCAAACCGATCTAATATAAGAGGTCGACGGGTGATTCAATTACGGCACCTTTCTTGCATGATTAGTTTCTATTTTGCACTTTACTGTGAAGAACAAAGTTATAAACTTAGTTATCGCCACACTTTAGGAAAGGCAAGGTTTTGCAAT